CTAGAGCAATGTAGAAGATTGGCCAAATATCAAAATTGGGGCTGCTTTTTTCTTTTTTTTAAGCAAACAACAAAAAAAAAATAAAAAATAATTAAAATTAAAAAAAAAATACAAACAAATCAATTCACTTCTTACATTCAGTGGCGGGGGAAAAAAAAATGAAAGAAAAAAATATTCACTCGACTTTCCAACTTTCAGCAACAAAATTGACAAAACCATGATTTTATCACGACAAGCTATTCTAGAAAAATATATTTTAACCCTAGAGAGAAGTTAGCCCACATAATGAAACTAGTTACATGATCTTCAGACATGTAAGAATATATGGTAAAAATATACAAATTTTTTTTTAAACTACCTAACTAGTTTATTGGTGCCATGGAAATAGGCAATTTTAAGAATATTAAAAAAAAAAAAATCAAGCAATTTTCAAACAGTAATACAGACATTCCTATAAAAGGAATGAATATGGTTACTGCATAATCTTAGGTCATAATGACAGGAAAACTAATTGTTGTATCTGACATATTTTTAAATGAGAAGTTCTCAAAGCGAACAGCATCTTTTTGCATTTTGACCATTTTCAGGTCCTTATAAAAATGAAATTACGTAAGATACACCTAAGTTGTTTATAATTTTGAAATCTACAGTAAACATTAACTATTGTCACCAACTTTCAAATCTGTACAGGCAAAAAGACTTATTTAGCAAAAGGCAAAAAAAGAAGTGAAATTTCAAGATGCCTTGATTTACAACTATTAAAGATACAGATCTAATATTTGAGATTTATCACTAAATTTGGTCAAGGAATATCTGAATTTTCCCTGATTTTTTGGAGAGGGCCACCTATGGCCATTGATTGGTTTGAGATAAAATGATTATATATATATATATATATATATATATATATATATATATATATAATAAATATATATATATATAAATAAATAGTCATTCACATACAGACCTGTTTTGCTGTATCACAGCTCATCAGTGCGGACCAGACATTCAATTGCTTCAAGCCAGGGCTGAAACCTGACCGATTTGGCATCAGTCAGAGTTTCCACCCCTGAACTATCTGCGCATGGCAGACGGAAAGGAAAATTCTAGCATATTATTTTTTACAAATGTAAACAAACGCCAGATAGCCATAGTGCTCAATTCATTTTCAATGAAGAGCATTGCATTTGTGGAGACAGCTGCTCTTTAGAAATATACACACACACACACACACACACACACAGCCCTGTATTTTAAAACTATAGCTCCCAAAATTTTTTTTGCTCTAGAAAAACTTTAGAAGCAACAAGTATATTTTGGTGTACTTTTGGTATGTAAAATCAAAAATGTATTTAGAAATTAGTTATGTTTTAGCTTTTAAAGTAATTAAAAAAGATTAAGTAATTATGTCAAGAAATTAAAGATTTGATGTTCCTTCACGTTTTCTATGATGGGAGAGACATGAAACAGACTGACTCATTTCCTCTTCATTATCTAAAAGAAGTCCTTATTTTTTGTATTTAATGTTAGATAATCCTAATTCCCATACATAGATACTGGATGACCATAAAATAGTAATTAAAAGACAGGTTCAAAATAGTTCAAACGTTTTCAGCAGGGAGCCACCATCAATACTAAGAATGAGCAATAATAGTGGACTTGGGAACTATTTTTTAAATGAAGAATTGTTTTAATAGAAAGATTTTATAAATTACAACCAACAGTAACATTGGCTGCTCAGTCAATGAATGCCAAATGTTTCCTTATAAAGGAAACCCTTTGTCAATAATACTGGATATAGAAGATAATTATTATTCTTAATTGCAGAATTTCAAATGAACATCAAATGAAATTTATTCTGCTTTGTAGACTCTTTTTTAAAACTATCTTGCAGCAAAATTTGGGAATCACTGTTTGAAAACAATTTGGTGTCTAATCTGTTGCATTCACATTCACACTGCAGGGAATGCATGAATCCATCTCTCCTCCCCCCAGTTATGGGTTAAATAAAAAGGTAAAATGAGCTCCCTAGCTTTGGGTGGCAACCAGTCTAGAAAAAAAAATCTGAATTCCAATCCATGGAGAAGGCAAAAATAAATCACAACATTATCATTTCCATGGCAATTCAAAAATAAAGAAATAGAAGCTGTGGAGAGCCATGATCACCTACATCCTGAAAGGACATAGCATTTAAGTTAGAGGAAGTGCACTCAAATCTATTAGTGTAATTCATCAGAAAACATAGTCTTATTTTAATTGGTCCAATGGAAATTATTTGGATAGCATGTTGGCCGAGATGGGTTAATGCCCATCTCCTCTCTAAGTAACGAGGCAAAATACAAGTAACAAAAAATAATCTACCATCAAGATCTATGGAGAGATTATACAAGCGCCATGCTAGGTACTTCATGGCAAGAACTATTACTTACTTACTTAGCAATGTCTGTCTTCTCTATAGGTAACTAAAGTCAGTTATCATATATATTCGTATATAAGCAGATTTCATGCATAGTGTGACCGCTGAATTCTCTTTGCATGAATTTTAACCCCTCCAAAAAGATTTGCCTATGTATAGTGCAACTGGCCACTGAAAATATGATTTCTTTTCCTCTTCAAAAAAATACCTATGACGCCCCCCCCACCATTTGCTATGTAAAAATCTGATCATAAAAACTTGCACTATAAATGACTATATACAGTAATGTTAGATTATGTTGGTTCATGAATTTGGTATATCGTAATTGTGACTTCAGTCTCTGGGCTGGGCAGTACAGACTGGCTACAGAGGATATAGGGTGAGCAATAACTGAGCAATCTACTAAATAATAAGTAGATGGGATATCCCTAGACAGGGTAAGGAAAATGTCTAGCACTCACTCCCATATAGGAGGATTGATATTAGATAACACTTCAACTCTCTTTTCTTTGTTGATAAGAAATTAAATTTTCCCGTTTCTTAATACTTTCTTTAACTCTTGAAAGTAATGCTATAAAATTGTTTTACAATTACATCTACTTAAATTAATCAGAATATGCATATATTATGGACTTTTTTTCCCTAAAAATAGAGATATTCGTAGACAGGGTCAGCAGAAACAAAAACAATCTAAATCCTGTAGATTAAATAAAGGGTTCAGTTTGAAATTCCCTGAAGGTTACTGAGATTGATAAACACTTGATGAAGGCTGGAAGGTACAATGGCCAAAATATAATAACAACAAAGATGAGGATAACAGTCTGCATGTAAATAATTGTAAATAACGATAGATTGTCATTTCAGAAATTCAAATAGGATCTTTTCAAAATGAATTTTTGTTTCTAACTCAACATATGTCCTTTTGCATATGATGCAACTTGATAACTAAAACAACTTGAAATAACTACACTCTCCTCTCTCAATTATAACAGAATGCCAACAATGAAACCTTTGTCATGACATCTGATGATAGAATTCAGTACAAGCAAAAGTTGAATGGGAGATTTTTTTACCAAATAAGGTTCAGCTAGGATGTGGGATACTGGTCTTATTTTCTATACAAATAAGTTCATCTCATTATTGCTGTTTCTCCGAGAAATATAATGAATATATTTAAGCTACTTCTCAATCTAACATGAGAGGAAATTCTCTAATTTCCATCTGCAGGAACACATAAAACAGATATAAAAAAAATACAATTTAAATTGTATAAACTGTTTCATTTACATAAATATAGCTTTATAGATAAATTGCAGGACAGACTGGGTCCTTTACCCTTGGGTAGCAACCATTATAGAATAGCTATGGTACTATCCTACCTTAGTAGGATGGGGAGGTATTGCCTGGGAGACAGATCTCCAGAAACTAAGTTTATACCCAATACTGCCAATGTAATTTTAAAAGGACATAAGCTAACATGTTCTTTTTGCATTTTTTAACCCCCATTTTTTTTAATCAGCAAACTGATCTCTATAAGGACAACCATGGACAGTATCCAGACACAAAGACTTTGTGAAGAGTTAGGTGCCAATTTAAAAAAAAAAAACAAAAAAAAAAAAACTAAGAAACAAAAAGACACCCTTCACCCCATCAGCAATGTTTATTGTTTTATATAGTGATGTTCATAATTTAGATAAAGCTCTACCATATGAAAATGAATTTATATATTTTCTTTGTTCTTGAGAATTTATAACAAAATATTAAAACACTATAAGAATAATTTTATATTTACAAGTCTAAAAGTGTGAACCAACTAATGCAATATTTATCATTTACCAATTTATAAATAACAATTAAACAAAGTATTAAGAAATAAGAAAATTTAATTTCTTAGTAACAAAGTAAAAGAATGCTGAACTGTTATGTAATATCAATCCAACTGTATGACAGTGAACGCTGGACAATTTTCACACAGATGAAGAGGAGACTTGAGGCAAGAGATGTGGTTCTACAAAAGGATGCTAAGAATGTCATGGGCAGAGCATGTGAGCAACAAGGAAGTTTTAAAGAAAATGGTAGCGAAAAGGATATTTGTATTTTTGAAAATGCTTGTTAGAATATACTTATATATTCTAAAAGAGATTAAGGAAAAAAATGGAACTTTTATAACTATTGTAAGTATATTTTTTAAGATTAATATATATTCTATACATTTCTTCATATATAAATATATTAACATTTATGCCTGGTATAATAAAAAGTAGTTTGCTTGCGGAGTGGTAAACAAGCATTTTTTTTTTCTTTAGTTAATTAATGCTTGGGGTGAATTGATTTAAAAAAAAAAAAAAAAAAAAAAAAAAAAAATTGCTATCAGATGTATAGTTAAGAAAACACCTTCTTATACACCAAACTTGTAATTTTATTATTTGGTGGTTTGTACCAAGATGAAATCTAAAACCTTCCTGAGGTTGTCACAAGTCATGTAACCCATTAAGTTTGTAAGGGAACCTGATGTACTGCAGTCATAGCAGAAATGTTGCATCCTAGGGCAAGACAGTCTGATGGAGCCTATTTCACTTTAAAC